TGGCTCCTCAACACCTTCTTCTCCGTTTTATGCCTGGAGATTCTCTCTAGGATGAACTACTTTCCAGGGACAGAGGTGAGGCTGACCGGCCTGTAATTGCCCAGCTCCTCCCTCTTGCCCTTTTGGAAGACTGCAGTGACATTGGCTCTCTTCCAGTCCTCGGGTACCTCCCCTCCAAGATGATGGAGAGAGGCTGAGCAATAACCTTGGCCACTTCCCTCAGCACTCTTGGGTGCATCCCTTTCGGGCCCATAGATTTTTGAGTGGCCAGTTTGCCTAAGCGATCCCTAGCCCATTCTTCTCAACCTGCGGAAGGTCTTCCTTTAGCCCATTTATATCTCTGTCACCTGAGCCCTGCAGTTCATGGAGAGAGGCCTTGGCAGTAAACACAGAGGCAAGGAAGGCATTTAGTWACTCTGCCTTCTCAGCATCCTCCGTCACCAAGTATAAGCTTCCCAGTATAAGAGGGACGTGGAGCTCCCAGAGAGGGTCCAGCAGAGAGCGACAAAGATGATGAAGGGAATGGAACATCTGTCGTATGAGGAGACACTGASTGAGTCGGGCCTGTYCATCTTGGAGAAGAGAAGGCTRAGAGGGGATCTGATTTACATGTATAAATACATGAAGGCAGAATGTAGGGAGGAAGGGGCCAAGCTCTTCTCAGTGGTGGCCAGTGTCAGGACAAGAGGAAATGGGTAGAAGTTGAAACCCAGGAAGTTCCATTTCCAGGTGAGGAAGAGCTCCTTTCCTGTGAGGGTGCCAGATTTGCCCAGGGAGGTTGTGGAGTCTCCTTCCCTGGAGGTCTTCAAAACCCGCCTGGATTCCACCCTGTGCCACATGCTCTATTGTCCCTGCTGGAGCAGGAAGCTTGAACTAGATGATCTCCAGAGGTCCCTTCCAACCTTGAACATTCTGTGTGATCCTGTGTGATTCCGTGTGAAGCCCAGAACTGTTGCCAATACTCCGTGCGGCCCCACGAGAGCTGAGTAGAGGGACAGGATCCCCTCCCTTCACCTGCTGGCAACACTCCTCCTCATGCAGGCCACGATCCCATTGGTCTTCAGGGCCACGAGGACAAGAAGGAGGTGGCGTCCTCCTGGAAGGAGAATCCACAGCCTCACAGGAAAGAAGCTCTTCCTCACCTGCAGATGGAACTTCCTGTGTTTCAGCTTACACACAATTCCTCTAGTCCTGTCACTGGACACTAATGAGGAGAGCTTGGCCCCTTCCTCCCTACAATCTCCCTTCATGTATTTATACATGTTAATCAGATCCCCTCTCAGCCTTCTCTTTTCGAGGACGAACAGGCCCAACTCACTCAGTCTCTTCTCATACGAGAGATGTTCCATTCACATAATCATCCTTCTTTATCGCTTTCGGCTGGACCCTCTCTAGGAGCTCCACGTCCCTCTTATACTCCAGGTGCGGCCTCCCCAGAGCTGAGTAGAGGGGCAGGATCCCTTCCCTTGTCCTGCTGGCAACACTCCTCCTCATGCAGGCCACGATCCCATTGGCCTTCCTAGCCACGAGGACAAGAAGGCCACCTAGAGCACAGTGCAGAGAGTCGCATCCAAGCAGGCAAGGAAGCTCTGCAAACATGCAGATTCCCCAGCCCTTCTGGGCAGCCTCTTCCAGTACTCTGCTACCCGACCAGGAAAGGACTTCTTCCGCATATGGACATGCAGCTTCCTGGGTTTCCATTTGTCCCCACTTTGTGCCCCCTTGTCCTCTCACTGGCCACCACTGAGAAGAGTTTAGCCCCACGCACTTACATTCTGCCCTCAGTTACTTGCGCATGTTGATCAGATGGCCTCTCATTCTTCTCTTCTCCAGGCCCAACAGGCCTAGCCTGCTTAGTCTTTCCTCAGACAAGAGATGCTCAAGTCCCTTAATCATCCTTGCCGCTTTACGCTGGACCTTCTCTCAGACTTGCATGTCCCTCTTGCACTGGGGAGCCCAGACATGCCCACAACATTGCAGAGGTGGCCTCAACAGAGCTCATTACAACGGGAGGATCCCCCTCCTCCCTCCCTCCCTCCCTCCTCTATTGGTGACACTTCTCCTCATGCAGGCCAGGATGCCCTTGGCCTTCTTGGCCACAAAACACACCGCTGCCTCCTGGCTAACTTGTTCCCAACCAGGACTTGCAGGTGAGCACACATGTGCCTGGTCCCCTCCTGCAAGGCCACGACTGTGGAAGTGCCCCTGTATGCCCAAAACGTGGAGCCTTTTCCTGGGCACGCTTTGCAAGGATCAACAAAGGAGCCATTTCAGGAACGTCTTCAACAAATG